CCCCAAAACCCCAAAACCCCAAAACCCCTCAATGCTTAAAAACGTTTATTTAGGCAATATCTCTACTGTGAAATATAAAATTTAATAATATATTCAGCTTTTTACTAAAAATGATGGAATTTTTATACGGAAAGAGGAATGATACTGCTGCTTAGAGTCCTAATAACAATTCTCAGACCAACTCTGGAAAGCCAACTTCTAGAAATTCCCCAACAGGCTCTATAAGTTCAACAAACAGGTCTGCCCAAAAGTCTTCCAATTCGAACTAGCAACAAACAGCCTCGTAAAGTGCATACAATAATGTATCTATAATTATTATATTAAGGCATATATTATTATTAGAGTGGTGGGGGTTCAAAAATTGGATTTTAGACTTAAAGCTCAACTAAAGCTAAAAATATTGAAGCTTCTTAGTAGTCCATTTTCACAATGTCAAAGGACTCTAAGAGTGGGACTGCTACGCAAAGTATGAGTTCACAGAAGGGCCTACACACTTAGAATCAAGCCATCGCAGGTGCTTATTCGAACATAATGACATCAATAGGATTACAAGGAAGGAATAATTCTCCTAAGAATCAGACAGGAATTGAGGTTCCAACAAGAAAATCTACTAAAAATAGTGAGAGGCTGTTCCCATCAGAGCCAATACAAACGAAGAGTAGTGTTAACAACAACGCCAACAGTAAAGTAGAATTCGACTTATTTTATTTATAGTGAACTCATAAATGTTCTATGGAGCAAAAGGCAGCAATTAATATATTCAGTCTCAATCTTTATCAAGCAACAATATGTCCAAAAATCAATACGGCCAACCAAAGTAGTATAATCCAACAGCAACACCATGTAAGTAGGAATTAGACATTGTTAGAAAATTATAATATAAAAGATAAATATGGATAGATTTTCTTATAATAATTTCAAAAATAGAACACAAAAATATTGACATTATTTCCCAACAAATGGGTATTGAAACTACTAAATATAAAAGAAGATCTAATTCCCCATAGTCTAACACCAGTTCTCTTATTGATACCACTTCTTTCACCGACAGTAATATATATTTTTTAATGCCAATACAGCTCCAACGACAATTCAGAATATCCCAGCCTCACTAAACAAGGTAAATGTACAGTATCCTTAGAAATCACCCAAGACTTCATCTAGAAGAGTCTTAAATATCAATAAAGATAACGAGAATGTTTACGAGGAGATGAAAGTAGATGGAACTATAGAGAGCAGTGATGAAGATGATATGATGTAGAATCCTTTTGATATTAGCAGTAAGGATTTATAGTCAAAAGCAGGCCAGATGTCTTACAACAACACCATCCCTAAGATGCCGGCTCAATCACCAGTAAATAACCAATCTTCAGATAGATATTCTATGCCTAAGGAATAGGGGTCTAAAGTTAACTTTGTCAGTCCAAAGACTCAAACCACCAACAATAGACATACACAGGGAGGCTCAACAAGTAATAATCAAAATCAAAGCACCGAGAACTACAAGAAGAAGGTAATACAATACTTGATTGACGCTGCTGAGACAGGAAACACAGACTCAGTTCAAGATGCGCTTAACAAATAGAAGTATGGCTAGTTTACTGCAGATATCAATAGTCATAACAAGGAAGACTGGACGACTCTTCATTTTGCAGTTAGTGAAGGCCATTTTAATATCGCTTAAATGGTACTAGAAAACAATGCTGATGTTAACGCGTTAACAGCAGCTAAGAGAACCCCACTCCATATTGCTTGTATTAGAGGCAGGCCAGACTACTCAAAACTTTTGCTAATAAAAGGTGCAAACGTAAATCTTCAAGATATCGATGGAAACACTCCCTTGCATTATGCTTCAGAGTACGGCCACAAGGACATTCTGATATAGTTGCTTTAGAAGAATGCCAACATTAAAATCAAGAACAACCTCGGCAAGTCGCCCTTAGATGTCTCTAGCTCCAACAGAATTTTCAACGTATGAACATTTATTTAACCCTTTGTAGATATTTGAAGAATTCATTAAAAAGTATCCAAAAGCAGTTAGGGAAAATTAAGCAGAAAGTTAAAGTTAGATATAACAGCAATAAGAAGAAGTAAAGTAAATTGATAATAGTCCGAATCCTAAGAACTTCTAATTCGCAAGAAATGCAATGCATAATAACTAAAACCGAGTAGTCATCCACAACCTGAATCAACAGCAGTCAGATGGCCAGATGAAGCAGAGTGCAACAGGTGAAGATAATTCTTAACTATAGGAGAGTGTTACCAACAACAACAATAACACCCAAGCAACTAGCGGTTAAAAACCTTACAACAAGCAAAATAGCAACAACCTTAACTAAAGCACCAAAGTTGGGGATAATGAAAGGTAAAATACTGGCAGTTCACAGACCAGTGCTGGTGAGTACTTCCTTGATAACGAATCTAGCAATCCTGATATCTAGTAATAAGAGGAAAAGATTAGTACCTCAAGTTTCCATGCTATTCAGCTACTTGGAAAGGGTAGCTTTGGAGAGGTTTATTTAGTATAAAAGAAGTCTAATAGCTAATACTACGCAATGAAAGTGCTCTCAAAGTCTAAGATTATGGGATAGAATTTAGTCAGATATGCCAAGACTGAAAGAAATGTGCTATCCTACACCTAACATCCCTTTATTGTGAATCTTAACTACGCTTTCCAAACTAGTGACAAGTTGTTTCTGATATTGGACTACTGTCCAGGTGGAGATATGGCAAGAGTGCTCTAAAGAGAGAGAAGATTTTCAGAGGATAGAGCTAGGATCTACATCGCTGAAATTGTTCTGGCTATTCAATACCTGCATAAGAGAGATATAATCTTCAGAGATTTGAAACCCGATAACGTAGTGATTGATTCGGAAGGCCACGCCTTACTCACAGATTTTGGTTTATCAAAAGAAGGCGTGCTTGATAATATATCTGCAAACAGCTTCTGTGGCTCAGTTGCTTACTTAGCACCTGAGATGCTGAAACGTTCAGGCCATGGTAAATCTGTCGATTGGTATCTTCTTGGAGTCTTACTCTATGAGATGCTAGTTGGCCAACCTCCATACTTCTGCAATAACAAAGAATAACTTTTTTATAATATCTAGAAAGGTGTATTGAAGCTCCCAGCAAGCATCTCTCATGAGGCCAAATCACTTCTAATCTCTGTAAGTAAAATTCAAATAGATATTAACATCCAAATAGTTATTAAACAGAAATCCAAACAAAAGACTTGGAGCTGCTCCAACTGATGCTGAGGAGATTAAGAAGCATCCATTCTTTGATGGCATTGACTGGGATAGAATTATCAGAAGAGACTATGAAGTTCCGAAGCCAAATATAAGACAGATCGTGCAATAGGAAATAAACCCAAGTATATTCGAGGACATACCCCTGAACATTGATGGAGTGAATAACAACAATATTCCAGGTTGGTCCTTCGTCAACCCTCTTGAGAATAAAGAGCAAATGATCGAAATAAATGTTAATGATCAGACTTAAAAGATTTCTCAAAATTGACGTTAATCGTGATCAATAGAAAATCTTAATGCTTTAGAGTGTTATAATTCTGGTAACATAGTTATTCAAAAGCCCACCTTTAAACTGTTGTGTAATTCTTTAAAGAATTCTTTATTAAATTCCTTAATTCTCAAGTGTAGTACTTTCTCGGGGTTTTGGGGTTTTGGGGTTTTGGGGTTTTGGGG